TACTCCCAGAGGCCTGGGTGTGGTGGCTCACACTGTAATCCCAGTATTTTGGGATACCAAGGCAGGTGGATCACCATGTCAGGAGTTCACGACCAGCCAGACCGAGATGGTGAAACCCCGTTTCTACTAAAAATATAAAAATTAGCCAGGTGCAGTGGCAGGTGCCTCTGATCCCAGCTACTTGGGAGGCTGAAGCAGGAGAATTGCTTGAACTTGGGCAGCAGAGGTTGCGGTGAGCTGAGATTGAGCCACTGTACACTGCAGCCTGGGTGACAGAGTGAGACTGTCTCAAAAAAAAAAAAAAAAAAAAAGATAAAAAGAAAGGGCACTCCTAAGGCAGATTTGTGGGTATTGGTGAGTCAGTGGAAGGTGCAGGGAGACGACTTCCAGGCCTCTGACAACACTGCCATTATCCATTCTTGGAGCCCATCACTAGAGCTGCAGGGATGAAGTGAGGTGAGACCCATGCTGTATGTCTTACAGAGGGGCTTTCAAAGGACTTAAACAGGGCTCGTTTTACTCTCCAGCTCCTCTGAGGACTATCAGAAAGCAGGCAAAATGGACAGCCCTACTTGGGAAAGCAGAAAAGATATGTGGGAAACCCTGGGGACTATTCTGTGGAGCTGACAGGTCTCTGAGCAGACCACTTGGGGAGGAACCTCAGGTTCGGTTCTGGGTGCTCCACTTTAAGAGGGATGCTGGTAACTGCACTGTATCCACAGGAGAGTGAAAAGGATGAGCAGCCCACACTCAGAACTGCAGAAGGAAATGTTCACCTGGAGAAGACAAGGCCAAGAGTGACTGCTGTCTCCACACACGCAGTGGTACTCTTGTCCAGAAGGGACTGTCCTTTTCTGTGGTTCCAAGGGAAGAGTCAGGATCTATGAGTGGAAACTCAAGGGACACTGACTTTGGCCAAGCAAAAGCTTTATGGATGGGCGGCCTCCTGAGATTGTGTGCTACATTGATGAAGTGCAGGCTGGATGACCCTGCCACTGGGATAAGGAGGATTACCTTCAAAGAGCTGATTGACTTTGGACTACCTGATTTTTTTTTTCTTTTTTGCGTTTTAGAAAACTTTTAATTTGTAAATAACTCTTATATTTTTCACTTGTAGATAAATGTATATAACAGTTGTAAAATGAAAAGAGTACAAAGAATAGCTGTAGACCTTTAATCCACATTCATCAGTTGTCAGCATTTTACCCATTTGTTTTATTATTTGCACTTTCTCACTTGCCCTTTCTCGCAGACTAGATAATTTTGAAAGTCCCTTCTCTTAGTGGGAGTTACGATTCTACATGCTGAGGCTTCCTTCCAGGTCATAGGATTTTAGAAAAATTGGAATCCTGCTGGCATTGCTCTTCACTGCACTTAGCATAAAATCTGAACTCCCCAAGGAGTCTGACCCTGATCATCTCTCTGCCTTCATCCCTTACTGCTCCTCATTTGGATCACCATGCTGCAGTTACATTGGTTTTCTTTTTCTTCCTCATACTTGCTAAGCTCATTCCTGGCTCAGGCACTTTGCAGTTATTAGTTCCTCCGCCTTCAACACACTTTGCTGGTTTTCCCACGGCTGGGGCCTTCTAACATTCCCTGATGCCCTAAGACCTCCCTCCCACCCCAACTCCTACAAATTACGACAGTCCCTCACGGTGCCTCTTCTCACTATCTATGGTGATCTTGTTTATCTGTTTGCTTGCCTTTTGGCTGTCACTCCCAGTAGAATGTAAGCTTCATAAGCACAGAGGTCTTATCTGTCTTATTCTTTACCATGTCCTCAGTACCTGGGTCAGAGACACTCAACACATATTTGTTCAATAAATAAATACGAGAGCAAATGAGAACATCTGGTCAAAGACATAATACATATAAGGATAGATGTTAACATTTGACAAACTATACAAAACAGCAAGTGTGTAACTATTCTATAAAGGTAAAGAGAAACGTCTTTGTCTTGTGGGGTATCATATTAGTCCATTCTTGCACTGCTAAAAAGAAATATCCAAGATTGGATAATTTATTAAAAAAAGATGTTTAATTGGCTCAGGATTGTGCAGGCTATACAGGAAGTACAGCAGCTTCGGCTTCTGCAGCAGCCTCAAGAAGCTTCCAATTATGGCAGAAGGCAGAGGGGGAATGAGGCATCTCACATGGCAGGAGCAGGAGCAAGACGAAGAGTGGGGGAGGTACTACACATTTTTAAACAACCAGATCTCATGAGAACTCACTCACTACCACAAGGATAGTACCAAGGAGATGGTATTCGTGAGAAATCCCCCATCATAATCCAGTCACCTCCCACCAGGCCATGCCTCCAACGGTAGGGATTACCATTCAACATGAGATTTGGGTGGGAAGACAGATCCAAACCATATCAGGTATATTGTAACTGACAGAGTTTTAGGAAGTTTCCCCGGAGAGTGCCCCATCCCAAAGAAGATGTGGACTTTTCTCAGAAGCCAAAGTGCATTCTGCTGCATCTGTTTGAAAAGATGGAAATTTGCTAGCTTTCCTGGTGCAAACTCCTTATGTGGTTGATACAAGAAAGACAGGGTGGAGGGTTATTTCTACATCTGTATGCCTGTGAAACTGATTGAGAATGCCTCAGTTATTTAGGAAACTAGCTTAGAAAACTTAACCTCATTGAGATTTCTTTCAGAGGAGCCCATGGATAATTCTATAGTGATGCTGTGGGCAGACATGTTTTTCCGTGGGTTCCTTTCTCTAGGGTCACTCTCGATCTATCAGAATGCAGTTTCCTAGCCTCCAAATGGTCTATCAAATTGGAAATGTACATGCAATTCCATTAAGAAGCCTGAGTCTTTCCCTCATAATCTATTTCCTGTCAGGTCTAATTATTGCTGATTACATTGAGCACTGTCTTTGTTCTGGGTAAAGTTCAAAAGCTTCTAAGTTTGACACTGGCCTCCTCCTCAACCACAGGAGAAAAGTCTACCATCATTTATTGTAGAGATGACTAGAAATGATAAAACCTGAAGAAAATGGAATGAACAATTTCTTTGGTTGGAATGGAAATGAATTGGAAAAATGGTTGCTAAAAGTTTCTGTTTATTCACTTGGTAAGAGTCACCATTTAACAGAGAAAAAATAATTTACCACTTAATCAAGGAAAATGCTGACTTGTAAAGATTTAAAAGAATAATATCTTAAAAATAAATTATTGACATTAAGTCAAACTATCTGGAAGGGTGTATATGTAAGGGATAAGATAAGAGAATCTGGAAGTAGATTTCCTGGGGTTTGAATCCCAGCTCTATAACTTAATTGCTGTGTGACTCTGGGTAAGATATTTAACTTCTTATCTCCGTTCCTCAGTTTGCCCATCTATAATATAAACATCCTAATAGTACTTAGCTCACAACCATTTTAGGATTAATGGAATTAATGTAAGTAGAGCATTTACAATAGCACCCAGCACATTAAGCACTAATGAAGCATTTGCTATTATTTCTTCTCTCTTATTCCCTAAGTCCAAATAAAGAAAAAAGAAAATCTTCTATCTGCAAAGTACCCTTTTGATACATCACTTAATTTTGGTCCTAAGAACAGCTGGGCAACATTGGTACAGGTTTCTTCTCTATTTTACACATAACTAGTCACAGATTCAAGGTCATTTAGCTGATAAGTGCCTGAACTCTAACTCGAACCCAGGCCTGGTGACTCTGATGCTGGCAGCCTCTCCACTGCAGTCTGCTATTGATCACAGTCATTGGTTCAACTTTGAAACGGGCACTGCCTTTAAAGCAGACACATCCTTATAAGATTTATAGCCAAGAGCCTCTATTAAATCTTACACAAACTTGAATGTTTTTGAAATAAAAAATAAGTGAAGGTAAGTAAAAGCTTTTATTTGAACTGAAAACTATCTTCTCTGATGTATCTGACCAAACATGGAAGCATTACTTTCATTTACACACGCACACACAAACACTGAGATAAACAAACCTAGAAAGACTAATTATTTTTCCCGCCTCTCCTAAGCAAAATGTCAAAAGAAAACAAACAGTCCAGGGGAAAAGTAAATTAGGTTTGTAAAAATCCTTTTCATTAGAAAGGCCTAGAATTCTAGTAGCTGTATAGGTAAGGCACATCTGTTTATTTTTAAACACAATACACATAATGTGAGGATTATCTGGTTCTCAGGATTCTAGTTTCTATCAGGGGAGGTCCAGCTTTGGCAAGGTTAGTGATGATGCCATAGAGTAATTACTTAGAAAAAATAATAAACAGTTTCATACCATGGTATAATTCCCATTGTATGGAATTATCCCATTGTAAGGATATAATCAATATCCTTTTTTATTTTCATTTTTGCACATGATCGAAGGAAAAGCAGAGAAGCTTAATTTGACTTACAGAGGGAAAACAACTCTGAATGTACTTTTTTTTTGTTGGGGGTGGGGTTGTAAGGAGAAAAGGTTGACCGGCTGGTTTTCATCTATATGCCATAATTCTCTGTTTAGTTTACACTATTAAACTCCAAAGCCTTTGCTTTAATCTTAACTGTTACAGTATGCCTTATTGCAGATTCTATCATGTCGCATCTCTGATAGGGTTTCCGACTTTGGCAAAGTACCATCCCTCAAGCTGGTCCTTGCCATATGGGTAGTAAATGCTTCCAACATTTTTTCATTGGCGCCTATATCATTATGTTTTGTCACCAATGGTTTCTCGGGTTTTCAGTAAATTGTTGCATATACTGTGGTTTGGAGATGCCGAGATGATCTCTGAACATTTATTTATCTGTATACAGCTGAGTCCTCATTAGGGCCTCCCTGTCCCGCTATCCTTTTTCAGATGACCTAACATCTGTTTGTTGAAGGAAGGGCATGAGGTGGGGGGTGGTGTGAGTGGAGAAGCCATAAGGGAAAAGAAAAGAAAAAGCAGGAGGAGACCAATGTGAGGGAAAATAGCTTTCCAGGAGCCCTTAACACTAAGTCAGGAAAGGAGGAGAGGGGAGGAGCAAAACCTACCTGATTTGTCTTCGTTTTGCGTATCACATCTTCGGCACAGCTCTGGGATCGTCTTGAGTGATGTGACTGAATACTGAATGGGAAGCCAGAAAAGAGAGGGCATAAAATCACAATTTAAAATACAAGCATTCACTCAAATTGGCCGGAAAAGCAAAGCACAAGAAGTGATACTTGGGTACAATATGTATATTCAGAAAATTTATCTCATTTTACCCTAAATGAGCTGTGTGGTGATCTGGCAGCATCCTAAGATCTACCTGCAAGCATCTAACCATATGTGGTTTAAAAAGAGGGCTGGGAAGACCTTCTTTAACAAAAATCTGTGGGCATAGCCTGCAGACACTCTCTTCCTTTTATCACTTCTGCTACTTGTGGAAGATGGAAGAACTGTGTGACCCTGAGAGTTTCAAGAAGATGGCCTTGATAATTGCATTCTGAATCCTAAGGGTGAGCTTGTGTGTGAAAAGCCAAGTACAGGAGCACCTGGCTTCCTGCAGCATGGGGGGCAGTCAGGAGACATGTCTAGGCCGATGCTGACCGGACTATGCAAAAGTCCCTAATGCTGCCACTTGCCACAGATTTTAGTGCATAGCATCCATTATCTCCATGAAAAATACCAGGGTAATGTCATAGTTAGTTAAGAGGGGTATGGTTCTGTGTTTGAAAGCTTATCTCTTTCACATGTAGATTAGTTTGAGTGGAAAAAAACCACCCTCTGGGCTCAGTTTCAGCACCCACTTAAACACTGGTTTTTGGGATAACAAATTATGACACAAGGGGGCATATGATTGGAAGAGCTAAAACAAATGTAAAATGAATAGCTATGATTTATGGGGATAACATGTGATGTCAATCAATTTTTCTTTAGCGGAGGCTGTTTTAAAACAAAATATATAAAATGAACTTGTTCTCTAATAAAAGACCAAGTCAGGAATTATCTTCAATCATACTCATACTTTAATTCATAAAATGCAGCTTCCTAAAACTACTTTGCTTTTTACCTCTAGGGACAATGTTCTTAATGTAAATGAGTTTGTATTATAAATTATTTCACCACTGCAAAATTTGGGGGGATTGAGAGAAAGCATTTAATCTAAAAGAAAAACGATCACAGGAAACTCATTAGGATTACTCTAGCATTACACGTGAGGAATGTGTAATTAGGACACATTTATCAATAAGAAGGTACTTGAGTTAGCTTGATGTCGATAGATGAAGCAGAGAGTCTGCATTGAGATGTCCTTGTGTTTTCCCCAGGCTACCAGGACAGCAAGACATAGGGTGGAACTATTGTAGATATTGTCAGTTTGCCAACTGCATGTCACAAGCAAATTAAATTTCCAGTATTTGCAAGTGAAAAATGAAATCTCAAATGACTAATTAGAGAAATTACCCTTACCTGTCTGATGCAATAACATCCTGTTTATATTGGGCATGCCTCAGAGACTACAGGTGCTTTAGCAAACCCACCCACGTGCTCAGAGGGAGGGATGACTGCCTCTTAAACCCAAAATTAACCTATAATTTTTTTCATGTTATATTCTTTGGGGGTCTGGGGTAACACGGGTGCAGAAGGCATTTTTCTTGGTACTAATAAGGTACCTTATGTTTCTGGCCAAGTACAAGCTCTCTAAGGAATCTGGTAGCTTCTTGAGACCAGCTGGTACAGGTTAAATAATTACACAGCCTATAATTCAATTAAAATTGGGCCTTTTGTTTTGGTTGCCATGTGCCCCATGAAACAGCCTTTGGCAAAGTCTCACTCTTTTTTTTTCTTTTCTTTTCATCCAAGGCAAGATTTTAGAAAGAGAGAATCTAAGATGAATTGTGTTTAAATATAGTTAATGAAAAATTCAGTAAGATTTGTTCTCTGGACTTAATGATAGATATCTGATTAAAATGGGTGAGCTGCTATCTGTATTTCGAGGCACATGCTTCCCAACTGCCATCTTCCACCCCAAAGTCAGACATATCAGAATCTCTGAAGTATTCACTGTAGCTTCAACTCTTCTTATTTGCCCTCAAAGGCCCATAGTGCACAGTAAGTTTTAACTTAATGAGGTTTAAATTTGAGCAGCACCTGGCTGGTATGGGGACCGAGTCACAGGCAGACACTAGCCTAGCTAAGCCACTGCCACGGCCTCAAACTAAATCACTTGTGGCACTTTGCCCCTCCACCCAGAGTCACATAGGAAGTCACTTTGGTGAAGGCATATATTTTAATTCTCTGGTAACAATGACTAGAGAAAATATCACTTGCTACTCCTGGGACTAGAAATAAAGAGTACAGCAATCTAAACAGGACGATAGGCTATCCAGAAAATCAAAGTTTTGATAAATTTTAAGGGTATATGGAATGTCAAATTTGGAAGTGACTCCAATCTACATTGTGAACAAATCCATCATTTTTTATAAAGACACAAGACAAAATCAATTTGTGGATGTTTCAGTAAGTATAAACACTATTCTTTGGATGAAAGAGAAGGCTTAAGGGAGTGCTGTGAAGATTGTTAAGCTGTGATGTGAAGAAATGCACAGGAAACACATAACTCACAAAACCAACATCCAAAAATATTTCCACATTTGCAAATTTGGGAATGAGCAAATGATCCAAGAAGTCTCCCTTGCAAGTATGCATTGTGCTACCATCTGGGAGCCGGAATGGAAGGCTTCCCAGTCCTTCATCCCAGTTCACAGGACAGATGGCCTTTTATAAGGAACTGTCAGATTGCCAACATACCTCATTCTCAGGACAATGGCAATCTCCCAGGGCAGCAACTACTGTCAGTTTGGCCCTACAGGAACCAAAGCCCAGTGCATCTCCCCTGCCTGTGTCCTCCAGTCCAAGCTTTTGCAGCCTGTTCCCTTGACTCCTATTGTCCTTGGGGGAGAAGAGTGAAGAGGGGACTTGCAGTTAGTTGAGAAATATTACATCTTCTATCTCTATAATTTATTCCTGTTCTAGAATTCTTCCAGAGGTTATTCCTTGTGAAAACAGGCTTTTTGATCTAAATTTGTTTTCCAGACTTCTTTTCCACTTCTCTACCATGACTCAGGAAGAGCTCTGTCAAAGGTTGACCAGCTGCCTCTGCCTCTTCAACATCCCTGTGCTTCCAAAGTTTTGTTTGCCTTCTGTTTCTTTACTCAGGGGTCCCCCTTTCCTACAGTGCCCTCCTCCAGCCATGCAAATTCCACCATCTCACAAGGCAAGGCCAGCTGTGCTCTGCTTCTCCATGAAGCCCTGGCTGATTGCTTTAGCCCTTATTGACTTTTCTCTCTTCTCCTCTTGGTAAGTTTCTGCCTTGTCTTGTGCTATGTCGTTTCTTATCTGTAGGTGTTGACTTCCATAAGCACTTGGGGGAAAATGATATTTTGATTTGTGTATGTGCATGGCACACAGGGACTGATTAACTGTTTAACTGAAATACCAAGATGTGTACATATTGACTAATCCCTGGGCATAACATTATAGACACTTAAAGGAGCTCTTTCATGTTTAGGTAGTAAGTGGGACTTTCCTCCAGGCCTTTATACTAATGCTAGAATTAATCAGCTTTCTGAAATAAAAATTTGACTAACGCTCTGCACAGCCTATAGGACAAAAACCATACACCTTAGCACGGCATCTAAAGCCTTCCATGAGCTCAGCCTCATCTCACGTTGTCTACATCTTTTGATTGTGGCAATACCAAATTCTTGGTGGTTGCACTATCTATTGTTTTGCCTGTCTATACCTTTACATATGCTATTCCATCTACCTGAAATGCCATTCTGCCTATTTTCCTAAGCAAACGCCTTTTAATTCTTCAGGCTTTGCCTGGGTATCACTTCTACAAAACCTTTTCTGATCCCTGACCCATAAGGAAGTAATGCCAGCTTCCAAAGTGTGGTCTCTGAACCAGTGGTATCAACACAACCTAGGATTTGTTAGAAATTCACATTCTTGGGCTCCATCCCAAACTTACTCAATCAGGAACTCTAACAGTGGGGCCCAGTGATCTCTTTTTTCACGTCGTATAGGTGATTCTGATGCATAATGAAGTTTGAGAACCATTGTTCTATATTATTTCCTTATATTAGGCATATGTCCATTACATACTTATCACATGATGGTTCTCCTATATGTTTACATAACTGCTTTCTCTGCTTCCCAAAGGTGTGGACAATATTTTATTTACCCAAGATACTAGGCAATTATTAAACTGAATTAAATAAATTCCTCTAGATATGAGAACTAATGGGGCAGGGATTTAGTTCAGTCCATAATTTTGGTGGCAGTAGTAATAATAATGTCAGTAGCTAATATTTACATAGCACTAATCTTAGAAAAACCCATAATTACAAGTCTAGCAATAAATCATTTTATATTTTAAAAAATTCTTAATATATTAATAGCATGAATACTAGCTGATGGCTTAACCTTTTGTATAAAGGATGATGAATTTGGAGCCATAAGATCTGGATTGAAGTCCTAGTTCTAACATTTATTAACTCTATGGTTCTGGACAAATAATTTATTTAATATCTCTGGGGCTCAGTTTCCTTATATGTAAAACACAGATAATTATATGAGATAATGTAAATGCAATCATTTTACAAACTGTAGAGCTGTAGTAAATGTCTGCCTCTTCTCTTTATCCTGTTTTCTATGTTTGCTTTCAGAGCTTCCCTCCTCATCTTCATTTCTGCCATGATTTTAAGCTCAGTAAATGAAGATATGAGAACGAATGAGGCAGGAAGAGAGGGGTAGAGGTGGGACTAGAAAGGAAAGGAAATAAAGCTCAGCCTATTTCGGTACGTTATTTGGCTTCTCTTTGTTCTTTCCTCATACAAGAGAGTCTGTAGCCCAGGGCTGACACTGAAAAGTCAGCTTCAGCCACTTCACAGAGGTGATATGGTGCAAGATCATCCTATACATCCCAGCCTACGCCAGTCAGTTTTGTCACCATGCCATGCAAAACAGTTGGAACATGCATGAGATTCATGACAATGCGTGATTTCTACATTGGGCTGCGGGAATCTCTGACCACCCTAGATATTGTTCAGGGCTGAAAAGCCTTGGCCCTTATTCCT